TGTCTTGGTGAAGGCCTTTTTGGGTTGAGATAATTAGGTGTTCTGTTGACTTCTTGAATTCTAAGCTCCAACTCATTCCTTAGATTTGGGAATTCTTGTCAACTATTTGTCTGAAAATGCTTTCTAGTCGCCGTTCCTTTTTTTCACCTTCGATTTTTTATTCTTGTTTCCTGTCCTGATAGTATCAGCTAGTTCTTGCATTTCTCTTTCATTATTTTTCATTTTTTGGTTTCTCTCTTCTTCCTTCTGATTTATTTCTAGATTTCTGTCTTCGATATCACTGATTCTTTCCTCCATTTGGTCGACTCTATTTTCCAAGCTTGCTGATTCATTTTTCAACTCTTGAAGTGTGTTTTTTTTTATCTCCAGAAGATGTATTCTGTTGTTTTCAAGGATTTCAATCTCCTTGCTAAAGAACTCATTCTGCTCATCTAGTTGTTTTTTCAATTCATGAAATTGTCGATATGACTCGAGTCATAACTCATTGAGTTTTTTCAGAAGTACCATCCTGAATTCTCTGTTATTCAAGTTGCATATTTCTATGCCTTTAAGTTTATTTTCTGGAGATTGTTCTCTTTCTTTCTGAGATGCCTTGTCACCTCGGTTGTTCATGGCGTTTAATGAACTATTTCTCCTCCTGGGTTTTAATGGAAGTGTATTCTGCCTTTATTTCCAGAAAGAAGATTTATTATATAAAGGTTTCTCTTTAGCTTGCTGAAAAGAAAGCACTTTGTTTTTGGTTTCCATTAGGTGGCATCTAAGCCTCTTGGATCCCTGCTTTACATAAAGCCTTAAAATGACTTTTTATTTTCTAGTAGATAATTAATCACAGTCGCTACCCTCAGTTTCAGTCTCTGTCAGTATTTGCAACAGGTTCAGTAGCGTTTGCTCAGATTCCCCTGGGGCTCCACGGTGATCTATCTCGGAGGGTATAGGGGGAGGGGCCTTCTGGGTTGAGAGCTGGGGACTGCGGCTCAACCTCAGTTTTACAACCACGGCCAGTAAAAATCAGCTGTTGTTTTTCTGCTGTCCCGCTTCTTTGCCTTCTGTCCCGATGACTGGGCCATGCCACCGGCTGCAAAAAGCTCACAGCTTTCCCAGGCAGGGCTGTTCAGGAACTCTTTGCTGCTTCTCCCCTCCTCCTCCCCATACAGGGAGCTCTGGCACTGTGAGAGGCAGCTTCATTTCTCCTAGTCCATCAACCCACACCTGGGGATCTGTCCCGTTGTAACTCTTATGCGCAGATCCCATGCTCAGATGTGCTGATGTGCAGTTTGGGTGTTTTTTGTTGAGTTTTAGATGTTCAGCTTATTGTTGTTTCGAGGGGAGAGTTCTGGGGACATCTCTCACTCCTCTATGTTTCCAAAGATCTTCCTATAAAGCATATTTTTAAATCAAGATGGAATACTACTTACCAGCTGACACATCAGAGACAGATGTTCTCCTGTTTAGAGTTTTTAAGATAAAAAATAGTTTGTCCCTTTGACTACAGAAAACCAGTGAAGTACCATTTCTAGATCCTCTTCTCGTGTTCCAGGCACTGAACTGAAA